CCTGTTCCTTCAATTTCATCTTTGTTTTGACTATTTTATTTCTTTTTTTAATCAACATAAAATCAATTAAAAAAAACCACAAAAACATTAGGCTAGTTTTTCTATTAAACTAAATTTATTAATTAATCATTTAATTATCTTAACATTTTCTCAAAACTAAAATTAAGAAGATTTAGATCATTTTCCCAAAATAAAATAAAACACAAAAAGATTTTATTCTTAGGATTTTTAGAGGTTATTTTCAGATTCGCGCGCGTTTATTTTATTGTAACTGCCTACTGGTTTGTGATAGCTTAACTAAGACTTTTACACTTTACTGCTTTATTCCCCCAATTTTGGACATGTAAATAATCCCCCTCCCCGAAGCCTTGTAATAGCGTAGGATTGACAATTCCTGCACTTTAAATTCCTGTACATATATTAACTGTTTAGATGTATGCTAACTAGGATTGCATGACAAGATCTATCTTGACTTAAAATCAAAAGTAGCTCATCATGACATGTAAAGATAATATAAACTGAAAATTGACACACTCGTACATGCCACTCTTAGGGTACGCCTCACTTGGTTGCCTCGAACGTGGTCATTAAGTATAGGATGTTTTAGAGGTCGTCCTCTTGTCCAAAGATCATAAGTTGCCTCGAAACGGTTGCCTCGGATAAAATGATCTAAGACATTAGGGTTACCACTAAGGCGTCCTAACATTGCTTTAGTGACCACAACGTCCCTTAAATCGAATTGACCCAAAAACTCAACAACGATGCTACCTACTCCTCAATAGTGGGATGGCATTGTCTAAAGGGACACTTGCACAGTCTAATTCCTTTTTGAGTAGGTAGATGTTCTTAAGTACTTGATCCTTTTAAAAACAAAACAAAACTTTTCGCACTTACACTCTCTCTCAAACAAAAAACTCTTTTCAAACCCACAAACACCAAGAAAAGCAAACTTTTGAAAACATAATGAGCAAGTACCTAAGAGCCCGTGGATAACCACGGATAGAAAGGGTGCTAACACCTTCCCTTTCTATAATCTACCTCCCGAACCCGAGAAATATCTCGAAAAGGAATTTTTCTATGCTTTTGTCCTTTCCTTGTTGGATAAAATAAAAGACGGTGGCGACTCTTGCTTACCGCGACATTTTGCAAAAACAAACGCAAACGCGAACCAGCATTCCAAAACAGTCAGTTCTCATTCCACTGATCACACACATATTTAGCAAGATTAGAATAAAAAATAATATACCAAATAATGACGACTGGTTATGGAGCTTTTGGACGTGGAGGCGCTTGACTACGGGCCTGATTCAACTCCTGGGAGTCTCAGGGGAACAAATGTACCCTTTGTTTGGATTGAGAGAGACGGGAGATGAGAGTTTGAAATTTTGCAACTTTGTGACTTTTTTTTCTCAATTTTTGTATGGCCCTTTTAGTATGTTTTCCCGCGTCTGTTTGGCTTGCAATACCTACTGCTTATATAGAGGAGATAGAGGGGACAAAGTTGTATGGAAAGAATCACAGCCATAACTCATGTTTTCAAACCAAAATCCAACAAATTAAAAAAGCTTCCAAACTCGCCAAAACTCGCCCTTTCCATGCTAGCATGTATCTAGACATTTGTGCACGAAAAAATGGGCCTCAAGACTGACCCAAAACACTAGCCCACATGTCCAAAATGTTAACCTATTATTTTATGCATTTATTTCGTATTTATTTAATTTTTAAATTAAACAAAAGTCAAAATAAATGTAAATAAAATCAAAGACATACAAAAAATGTATTTAGAGGTCCTTCATAAAGTTATGAGATTGTTTGAAGTCCAAAAAGTTAGGCCCATTTGAAAAAAAATCCAAGTTTGACCAATATTTTCTTTATGCACTTCTTCAAAATTGGTCAAATTTAACAATGCATATCTATCTTAATTTTAACCCTATGAAGGTGTTATTGGACTTTTTAGAGAGATTAAGATGTCCTCTAAATAACCCTTTTGGTTTCATCTCAATTGGATCTTTCATGTTCATGTACCATGCTTTGACACAAGAGGTGTTTTTGTTGACTTTTTGAAAGGACCCATAATGTCTGAACTTGTATCTTTAAAATGGTGCATTTCTTGAACTTGAGAGCTGAATAGAAGTTGTATGGAATTGGATTCTCTTCAAAATGAGTTTGATGGAAAATTTTATGATAAAGTATGATAAAGTTATGGCTGGTGAAAGTTCAGTTGACTTTTGCTATAGAAACCCTAATTAGCAATTCTTGACTTTTGATGAATTAGGGGCACTTTTAATGGAATCATGATCAACCATTGATCAAATGATGGTTATAACTTTAAATGTTGACGTTGACAAAAATCTTAAAGTTTGACTGTATATAGGCCATAATTGACTTTTGACCTAGTACAATTGATTTTCAAGCATTTGAGCAGTTGACCAAGCAAACTTTAGTGCAAGGCATGAAATTTGTCATGGACAATTTTGAAGACATATTAGGACCATGGAAAACATTTGAGACCATTGGAGCTCACACATCTTAATGAAAATTGAAACCCTAGTCAGAGGTTCATTGCCTTAGGAGGAGAATTTGGTTGGTAAATTCTTAGTCATCTTTGAGCAATTTGAGGACCTCAATGGGCATGCCTTGAGTAAAATGAGAGAAAATTTTTTGAGGTACAATACTATACTTCTACATAGAGGCAATTTCAGACATTATATTTTGGTATGGCTAAATATGAAAGAAATTATAAATTAAATTATATTAAAAATAAGAAATAATATTTTTTAAAGCAATATATTGACATCGTCTACCAAATATGAGGTATTAGAAAATATAAAAACGAGAGAGAAACTTGAGGGGTGGTGACAGTGTTTCAAAGATCGGATTGGACCGGGCAGTCGAATCGAGAATCAGAAGGGTCATCAGCCTAATTTTATAGTTGAATCAGATAAGCTATTAAACTAGTGAGAATCTACCATAATCGACCAAAACTGATAAAAATTGACAAATAGACAATTTAGAAAACCGACGGATAAAATGCTTATTTTTTTCCTCAAAACAAAATGACGTTGTTTTGATTTTTTTAAAATAAAATTAAAATATAAGTAGATTTTGTTCAAAACATATTTGGAACAACTTTCCTTTGTTAGAATTAAATTTATTAGACACTCACTTATTATTTAGTTTATTTTGCAATTAAGCTTATTCAAAATTTATTTTGATTTGTATTTTATACTATTTGTTGTGTGTGATGATTATATTTAAAATTTAAATTTAAAGAATGAAATTGTAAATTTATGATATTTTGAAATTTGATAGGTTCGTAATTTTTTAAAGATGGAATCATCTGGTTTGAATGATTTAATATAGTTTTGTTAGAGATACCAGTTTATTCAAATGAGTTATCATATTTATTCAACTGAATTATCTGATTTAATCTGATTTAGTAATGTGGTTCAATAAGTGACCAATTAGGGTCTGTTTGGTAAAAATAGCAGTTGACTAATAATTTAGCTGATAGTTTATAGCTTATAACTGATGACTGATGACGAATTTGTTCATAACTTATAGCTGATGGTTGAGACTGATAGGTGATAGGATAATTGGAGTATTTGCTAAAATTAGCGGTTCAACTAATTTATAAATGTAAAAAAACATAAAAGATATTTAATACATAATTACTTCATTTTAAATA